CTCCTCATGTGCACAAGTCTCCCCAAAACAGAGCTTTGTCTGGGGAAACAGGAATAGCAAACCTTACTTCACAACCAGGGACTCATCTGGGTAGGATGTCTCTCTGGCCATCAGGAGCCAGACACATTCACTGAAACAATAATCTTAAAAACAAAACATCCAAGGAGTTAAAACTACAAGCAAGCAGTTGGATAGCCGAGCACAAAGCAAGGGCTAGTCCAGTTTTGGGGCCCAGCCAAGTCTAGCAGAGCAGCAGCAGGGAAGAGCCTAATATAGGTGGGAAGTTCAGCTGGGAAGAGCTTGGAACAATGCACCCGCTTGGCTTGACATGCAGGAGCTGGCATGCACGGGGGTCCATGGGCTGCACGCACTGAGGACACAGAGAGGAGGAGAACCAACAACCAGGAAGCTTGACAAAGGGCAGTGCTCCCTCTCTGTAAGGCTGTGGCTGAGAGCATGACAGTCTGCACCCAGCACAGGACACCTGGGCTCAAGAGTAGGAGGCCCCTCAGCCAAACAGCTTCACACACCAGCCTTAGAGCAAGGGAACACCTTAGAGAGAAACTCGAGACAGTGTGTATGTTTGTGTGTGCTACAAATATTGATACACACACATATATATAAATATATATATATACACACACACAAAATAATGTACATTACATATATAGTGGTAGTCACATCACAGGAGCGGAGAAGTTTGCTCACCATTAGCAAATATCCTATGAAAGACTGTTGGTAACAGAGCAGCCCGTAAGCGGGAAGTAAAACAAGATAGAAGTCAATGAGCTGATGAAACAGCAAGCACTTAACATCCCTAGAGACAGCTAGGGCAGTTGTGGCAAACATGGACAGGACTGAGGATCTGGCCCTATCTCCAGCTGTCTTTAAAATACATTTACATAACGAACATCAGTGATTCTAATGAAGTACCAGAGTGAGTAAGGGAGATAAGACATCTTTGACCAAGTAGAAGGTCACAGCCCACTCAGAGGCTAAGCAGCTGGAAATCCTCTTCTTTCTGTGAGTGCCCTGCAGCCCCCCTCCAGCAGACAACTGCCTTTCCTTGCATCCCAGCAGCTTCTCCTGGGCATGCATCTTGGCAGCAGAACTCACACTTACATCCCTGGCCACATAATTTAACGGCAGTGTTAATATTAAGTAAGACTTGGGCTCCTAGCACCTTGGCCTGGAACTGAAGAGCCTCTTCCTTAAACACCCAATGAATCCCAGAGGTTGGGTACACTGAAGATGGGACAGCATATGCATCAGTCAAGTGCCTGGAGGCACCACATGGAAATGCATGAATGCAGCACTAAGCATCCTCCTGTGCTCTACTGAAGTCTCACTCGGCACCGCCAACACATGGCAAAGTCTGGGGGCACCAGAAGACATTGCAGGACCCTCCAGTTTGAGGCCTCAAGTCTGCTGGGACACTCTGAGAGCTGTCCAAAAGGATTTTTAATTCAAACCCATCACCTCTTTCCACCTATGATTACTTGTTACACTCCCAATGAGAATTACAGGAAACATCTCCCAACACTGCTGAACACCAGCAGCATCCAGCACCTGCCTGAACGTCCTCCACACTCGGAGCACCTTCGACCCATCACAGTAAAACACAGAACCCCAGAATGGTTTGGGTTCGTGGGACCTTAAAGATCATCCAGTCCTATCCCCTGTATGGGTACGGACACCACCCAATAGACCAGCTTGCTCCAAGCCCCATCCAGCCTGGCCTTCAACACTGCCAAGGATGGGGCAGCCACAGCTGCTCTGGGCAACCTGGGCCAGTGTCTCACCACCCTGACAGCAAAGTATTTCTTCCTAATGTCTAACCTAAATCTCCACTCTTCCAGCTGAAAGCTATTCCCTCTCTTCCTATCACCTCATCTCCTTGTCAAAAGTCCCTCTCCAGCTTTCCTGTAGCCCCTTCAGGTACTGGAAGGTGCTCTGAGGCCTCCCTGGAGACTTCTCCAGGCTGGACAACCTCAACTCTCTCAGCTTGTCTTCACATCTCACAACAGCCTCTCTTTGCAGGTCTACTTGTTAGGCAATACAGATGTGCACAAATACACCACAGTGTTGTGCATGGATCCCGTGGAAGAGTACACAGGAAACACCTTGGGCCTGTCACAAGGAATGTTTTCATCTGAACAAAACTCCAGAAAGCAGCAAGAACATTCCAGTCTCTGGGAAGACCAGAGGCAAGTTTAAGAACTGTGGGTGTCTTTCCTATCCTCATGAGTTCTCCAAAGATCCCCATTCATTTTACACTTTTCTTCCTTAAATCTGTTATCTTTATGGCACTGAAAAAAGAGTTAGTAAATTAAAGGATTATGGATGGCTTTAGCATTTAAGCAGTAGGAGAAATCCTCTCTTTCCCACTGCCTTTTTCTGCCACAGATGACCCCAAGCATACCAAGATTTCATCCCTCTTCCCAAAACTCAGTGCAGTAATAGCAGCAACACCCTACTACTAAATTAATCTTTTTTCCTGCAGTGCATAGGTGACTTCAGAAAGAAAGACTGATCCAGAATCACATGCAGAACAAGGAAAACAGCAGTCAGTCCCGCCAGTGCACATGACTGCAGTCTGAAGTGGCACCAAGGAGCTTCCACACCTCAATGGGTGCTCCAGGAACAAGGACTGGACATTTTCAAAGTGACACAAATCACAGGCACATCTCTCCTAAGACCTCTTTACCCATCAGACAGAAGGACATTCTGCAGAACACACTAGCAGCTGCCTGTGCCCGGATTTCTGCCCCACGTTCAGCAAGTATTCTCTTTTGCTTCAAGAAGAGGGAAGAGGAGCTCTCAGGAGTGTGGCCCGAGGTGGTGCTGGGGACAGAGACAGCATCGAAGAGCAGATCACAGTGCACTGAACCACTGCTCCCCTTAAAACCCCGAGAGTTACTGACCCACTTCTTTGAAGTAAACACGGGGAAGTTTCTGGATACCAGCCAGCTGCAAGAAACCACTGCATGAAGCAACAAATGTGGGATCATTAGTGCCAGGGGCCCCAGAGAAACTGTGGCTCTAGGGCCTGAACACAAAAACAGCCCATCTGGCCACTGCACAGCCAGCAGCACCAGAGTATCCAGCTCCAACACACCAGCAGTTCTGGAGATGTGGTTTGGATGGTCCGAGCACAGCGGGCACTAAAGGAACAAGAATACATTCTGCAAGGTTGGCAACAATTCCAGGCTGCATTGGAGCCTTAGCCTTCACATCTGGAGGGTTCCTCTTCTGACCACAAGTTCACTTGCACTCACTTCCTTTTTTACTTGAGAGGACCAGAATTTATCAGATAAAGCACTTAACTTCTGAACACCAGGTGAGCAAGGGCAGCCTGCAATTGAGGAGTAGAAGGAAGTTTGCTCTGGACAAGCTGCAGTTAAGCACTGCTCCTGGACAGCCACACTCCCAGCACATGTGCTCTTCTTGCTGAGCATCAGTTACAGCACACACACACACACTGCTACTTGGAAAGGGCACACACCAGTCTGATGGCCTTTGTCTCTCCCAGCATGCCCAACAGAAGAAAAGCTCTACAGCACTGGGAGAAGCAGGTAAAGGTGTAACTGCTGAGGCAATTGTTTGAGTTCTATGATCCAAGAGCCACCTTTCCTCTAGACACCCCCTGGACAGCACCACTGGGAGCATGAATGCTCTATGAGAACATCACATTTGTCCATCTGCAGAACCATTCCCTAGCAAAAGCTGTGGCTCTAGATACCAAGTTCAAGTGGTTTGTTTTAACAAAGTGCTGGCTACCCATCAGTGCTGCAGCTGCACAGCCCGTCTAAACTAAACTAGAAAGAGAAGGACCTCTTAGACACTCAAGTCTACAATAGACTTCCCACAAGCAGGAAATGATTACCAGGGAGCTGGCTGTTTGCCAGCACACAGTATCAGATCTGCACAACTCGGGAATTTCACCCACTGGCACAGTCAGGGAAAGATAATAAAGCAAACTCCATGATGTCATCAGCCTGTATGACAAGCAAGTCACCAAGTTTACAGGCAGATAAAAAACTGAGCATTCCTTCTGCCATGACCCAGTCTCCCTGGGTACAAGCACATGTCAGAGGTTTGTCACAGAGAACCAAGACCCCAGTTCTGGAACAAAGAGACAACAAAAGAGATCTCTGATAGAAATAAAAGCCAGAGAGGTCTGCAGTGTAGGAAGAGAGCCTATTTTTAGACAGTAGGATAAGCAAAGCATTATTTCCTGTACACTGTCATCACCAAACCAAGAATCCATACAGACAAAAGCCCTATAGAACAGCAAGCGCACTCCTCAGGTGTGAGGACGCTTGAAAAGTTGGATGACAGGCAGCAAAGGTGTCACTCGTAACGTACCATGACTACAGGCAGGTTTTCAGAAACACAGGAAAAGCAAAGGTGAAAAAAACAGAGCATGCAAGGAGGTACTGCACTATCTGAACAGGGCATGTCTTTCCCAAACTGGCCCAAGGCAAACTAGCACTCTGAAGTCCAGGCCAAGTGAGTGATGCTGGATGAGGCTGCCAAGACCAGCAGCCTGCTGCAGCCCCAGTCTATAAGCTGGACTGTAAATGCTGGCTGTTACAAGAAGCACTCAGGTGGCCTCAGTGGACAAAGCACTCCAGACAGCTTCCAAAGCTTCACAGCACAGGGAAGAGAACTCTGACTGTATTAACCGGAGAAAGACTGCAGAGCAGATGAATCCAAGGATAATGCGCATAAAAACATGAGTTTCAGCATCATTTCTCAGATTAGTGCCTTAAGATCAAAAACTGAGGACAGAGCTAACAAGGGAAACTGTCTCCAGTATCAGTTCTTCCTGTGCCTGAAGGTGGCCAACCAGAAGTGAATTCTACTACCAATACCTGGCATAACTGGTGTGGAAGAACATGTGTACATACATGACAGGAAACCCTGACAGGATTAAAAATCTTTTTGTGTTTAAGCAGTTTGTCTCATAGGCAAGGGTCACCTCCAACAAGACTTACCTGAACCAATTTTTATCAGTCCATTGTGCTGAATGAAGATAGTGTCACAGGTCAGGTTTCCATGGATGATTGGAGGATCACAGGAGTGGAGGTAGCTGGGAATGGAGAGCAGAGCACTGGTTAGGAGACTGCCAAGGCTGGGGCCAGGAACCCCTCCCTGCATACCTTCCCTGTCTCAATTAATATCAGAAGAGAACAGGAGGGCAAAGGACACATGCCAGGGATTTACAATAGTGAGGAGGGACAATTAAGTTATTTTATCAGCCTCTAGACTAGGAGAGAATCAGAAAAATTAAGCAATTGTCTCTAACAAATCATCTCCTGTATATGGGAGAAAAAAGAAAGCTCTCTATTTCATCCATTCCAACACCACTGGGTTCCAGTCGTACACCCAGAATACCAGAGCCTTATTCTGGCCCTACTCATGGGTTACCATGGCAATTAGTGCTGTACAAACATGATGAGGCCTGTCTTCCAGCAGGCACAACCAAAGCTTTGTAGGGCTAGAGTCTGCCTGGTTTTGCACTTCACCCTGGTTGGTTTTATGTTAGCAGCCAGCACAAATACAGTCAGGCCCCAAAAGTGTAACAGAACCCAAACCATTAATTAGCAGCTATATTTAACCAAACAGCAATACAACTTTCTCTACGGAGTGGGAGTCGTGCTCTGATCCTCTTGGACATGGTCAGATTCAGGTTATAAAGCTGGATACTCCAGGGGGCTCCCTGATGCTCAACTCCCACACTCACAACTGTTGGGAACCAGAACCTACATTGCACTTGTTTCTCTATTTTAGAGGCTGCAGTGTCACCCAACTGAAAACCCTGGGATTGTTACAGGAAGTGCAGTTGATGCTGCAGACAGAGAGTGGGGTAACAATCAGGCTGGGTGACTGAAAGTACTCTCCAGACTCCATTCCACAAAGCTTTCCAATGTTTGGCAGCATGTATGTTTATAGCTTTTCATATTCTAGCACAAGAGAGGCTACACTTGAGAGGCCAGCCCACAAGAGCAGTAACTCATACCTGAGAGCAGAGAGGATCTGTGTGCACCATCGCTTCCAGGCCTACAGACACAGGAGCAAAAAGGAGAAAAATCATTCAAGGAAGAGGAACTAATCCATAGTTCTGTGATTCACAGCCTACTCATATGAAGGAACATACGCTCCATTCTGTGGCATCTCAGCTTTTACCCAGTAGAGGTTTGTAGGAAGCAAGAACTTAGAGGATCAGGGCTCTCATGCTGAGTCTAGTTTCTACATATTCTATGGGTCAAGAGGCACAGCTCCCCTCCTAATGCCTCTCATGCACAGACCCCTTCCCTCTTCCTTGTCTGCACACATGGAAAGGGATGTGCCTGTCACACTATACACGTCAACTTGCAGAACTGCTGGAAACAAAGCAAACTGCACAGAACAGCTGTCAAAGAGAACCTGCAGCTGAACTAGTTCGCAGTGACAAAAGGAAGTTGCAGCCACATGGTATCAAGCAGGTTGCCTTCTCATCAGGATCCTCTGCAAAAGGAGCTTAACAGAGGCTGGTGGCACTAGGTGAATACAGGTATCCATGAGAGAAAGAGTTACCTTTTCATTCATCGTTTTGTGGTTTTTCTTTGTCTTCTTCAGGAACTGTTTCAAGCTCCCTGAAGACATGTATTCTGTGATGAATATCACCTGTAGGAGCAGTATGAGAGGTTACACTGTCTTTCACTTGCAGGCCACAGAGTGAGAAAACCCAACAGACTGCTCACTTTACTTACCCTGGCCTTATTCTCCTTCACATCAGCCCAGTATTTGTGAAATTTCACAATGTTCAGGTGTTCCAGCTGAATTAAGTTGTCAAACACCGCTTTAACTTTTTCCTTAACATCAGAAAGACAAAGACATGTTACAGAGATGACATCAGTATATATCTTACTTTCATCTGGGGTCTTGGTCCCCTTAATCACCACTAGACTTCAAGGTCCTGTGCTAAGAATAAACAGCATCTGATTCCAACCCACAATGCACCTTAGCTGAGTGTGGTTTGATCACCAGAACTAAATCAACATAAGAGCCCATGGAAATAACACAACAGTTCTCCATCACATTTTCAGCATAGGCCAGGATAAAGCTGAATTTGCCACATTTGAGCAGTACAGCACTCCAAAGCCAGCCAGTAATCCCCATGAAAGGTCCCCCAGCATCTATAATCCCACGCTGGTACACGGTATGCTTCCCACACCTTGTTGGGAAATCCATCAACTTACTTCCTGAAGCTTGAAGTTCTTCCTCTCAGAAAACTGAACCTCATTCCAAACAACTTCCACGCCCTCCTCTGTATCCATGGCCAGGTAGGCACTGTCGATCCCTGGGACATTGCGCTGATTCACCTGGATGGGAGGATGGAGCCAGAGCTGAGCCCTAAGCCAGCAAGACCAGATCATGACCATGCATCCTCCATTCGAGTACAATGAATTTTGCTCATTATTCTTCATTAAATGAGCATTCCAGGAGAAGATTGTGCACATATATTTCAGGAATGGGACATACCCAAATGCAAGGTCACATAAGCAGCAAACCCTGGGCATATTTTAGGGAAAACTTCTTTCACACAAAGGCTGTTTCACAGTATAAGATGCCTTTTGGCAACAATACCTTAGATTTTTATGTTGTATGATACCTGTGGTTCCTTTAGACACAAAAACCCCTCCAACCATACATAAGGGATACCAAAAAGCCTCAGGAGCTTAGACACAGCTCTCTGGAGGAATTTTCTGAAAGATGCTGAGACACAAAACTCGAGAGAGGGAACTAATCCAAGCAGAGAGAAATTAAGGGAAAGCTGCGAGTTCTGAATAGACTTAGGAAAGGATTAACAAGGCTGAATGTCAAACTTAAGAAAAGTTTAAACAAGCCCCCAGACAAGAGAAGGCCAGTAGTGTCAGTACTGCAGGGACCAGACAAAAGCCTGGACACCATCCACCCCTCTGCACCCTCTTCCTTCAGCCCACCTGCTGTCTATTCACACACCTCCCAGCTTTGCTGGGCTAGTTAAGTCCTGAAATACTGACAGCAACACAAAATCTGCCCTGGTAATACAGCCAGTGGATATGGATTTATCATATCTTCTCCCATTTCTGGGCAAGTTTACCAACCGTGATAACTTCCATGACTCATGGCCAGAATTGCAGGGCACCAGCTATGACTCAAGACACCAAACCCATCTGACATCACTTACAGTACTTCTCAGTTCACAGGAAGGTTCAACAGCTTGGGTAGAGGAGTAAAAGGGGAAAAATGCAGACAGACAACTGAAGACGCAACAGCAAATCCCTCCTCTGCTCAGGCTGCTAAGTCACTTTTCCACATCCCCCTCCACACTCAGCCAAGTGGAATCCTAAGCCCTCCTGGACACATGTTCTGGTGCTTGCCCTGCTTCATTCCAAGGCTACGGCCAGCTGGCGCCTCTAGGCAGCTGCCAGTGATCCTGGCAGTTAACATATTGGAAACATGGGCAGCTGTAGGAATACAAATTTCAACTTCTGCACGGACCTCACTGAGAAAGAGGAAATAAAATGGCACTTTCTAAACAGTGCCCTTCATGCCTTGCCCTGGCAGGAAGGAGGGCAGCTGGACACATCCACAGCTGGTGGCCCCAGCCCTGAGGAGACAACAGAAATGTTGTCCACAACCTGGGCACCACCAATACGGGGTGAAGATACCACAGGTTCTTTCCTCACTTTGCCCTAATGTCCTGCCAGCTTCTGCAAGCATTGCTTTGATTTTCAGCAGCCTTTTATGACCCAGACCAAAGACAATGAGCTGTCTGTAAATTATGCTGATGACATGACAACTGACTCAAATAAAATGCCCCATGTTTCAAGAGATGTACTGCTCCAAAGAGTTTCTCTCCCAGAAAGCCTGCACAGACTATGTACCTTTTAAACCATGAAGGAAGAAGTTAAAGAGTTTAGTGTGAGTTTCTGAAGTATGACAGAGGAAGCAGTCCCACAACCACAAAAAACTTACAGCAGAAATACTGAAGCAGCACTTTGTCCACATAAACAAGAGGGAAGGAAAGTAAAGAATTTCAAGTGAATTTCAGTAAATGA